CTTCATCAAAACACACCTTGCCTATCCGCCATTCTTTAGGCAGGAATGCCAAGGCTCGAGTATAGACCCAATGAGTCTGTATGCTTATTGCGGACAGATAGGCAGCCAGAATAATTGACGCTCGTAGGTTCAACGCATCTCGAGCTTGGAGACGAGGTCTGACCACTCCACATCACCAACAGAGTCGAACCTCGAGTCTCCACCCAAAAACCATGGAAATTACGGTGGGAACATGCCGCTTCACTTGTGCGATATCTGGTCTGCAACCTAGCGTAGTGAGTAGTTCATTATAGTTCCTGGTGCTCCTGGTCAAGTATTCAGGTAACATGGGGTTTGTTCGTTATAACTATATGCCAACGCACGGTGGGTGTGTCTATCTCCCATATGTCTAAATGGCCAACCCGACTCGCTGATGCAGTACAGTGTTACTCGCGCACAAGCGTTTCACGAGTATCACCGGAAGCCACTGACCACTGGGTATCGTTCAAATGCAGTGGTTAGGAATCAGCTGGGGATAGCATCGTTCGAGATTTCGAATTCTGAACCTGATATTGCTCCAGACTGCCACTTTGATTGATTCTCATTGTGGGGTGTGGGACAACTCATGCTGCAGGGTGCTATCCAGGTAGATGTGGGGAGATTCGCCCACGCAGGAATAGATGTCGTTTGATAATCTTGGAGGTGCACTGTTCGTTGCATTTGGGCTTTGGCTGTTGGGCCGTTACATTAAAATAAATTGCACTGAAGGTGGCAGATCCCTTGCATGAGGCCTGACATAGGATGAGTCTGTGAATAGTCTATCCAAAATTGTAGCGTAGATCGCGGCTGGTCGGTTGGGGACGCCTTTCAGATGAAAAAACACCTCTGTCTGTTTGAAGCTGCGTCTCGTTTCTTTGGAATTGAATCCTTATGAAAGGAGGAATCGTAGTACCGCAAGGGAAACTGCCAAATCTGAGGCAGGCCACTACTCATCCTGACACCGACTCCCGCAAACGGATGGCATGTGAAATAGAGAGCAGCGCTGAATTTCTAACGCATGTGAATGACCACCTGCATTCATTTCCAATAAGGGATGATGTACGAAGTGGGCCAACAATTCACGACAACCCATGATCGTAACGTGATGTGAATAATAATCTTCAGGAGCCTTATCGTCGCTACCGCGACCAACGACGCGTCTTTCGAGGATGCCTAAATCTATAGGTCGTCAGCGAGACCTCCGTGGAAAGATATCAGCTATGGATCACCCGACCTTCAGAATCGTGCATCCCCCCTCCTGATTTCTAGAACCACAAGCCAAGAAATTCTGCCGATATGTAGACTTGCTATTACTTGTGGATCAACCCAAATGTGACTACTCCGCCATGCCAACGCACAAGTGAAACGCTAGTGCACCTCGCCAACACTACTGTATGCGCGGAATGTCTGTGTTTACCATAGGCATAGCTCGCGTAGGTCAGGTGATACGTAGTACCTGGGATCGACTGCTATCCCAGAGTGCGATTGGTGGTGGTGGTTGATGTTATACCGCATTCGCGTAGAAGCGCGTCCTGATGCGGAGGCAGTGGTTAAGAGGAAATAAATAATCAAAATAATCAAAACCGGTGGAAGCCGCATTGGCGAGGAAACACATCCAGCCCGTCCTAGGCGAAAGATACATGAGGAAGATCCCAGTGAGCATGGGCCGAGAAAAACTGTTAAAGGTTGAGGCCGAAGCTGCACTGGCGGGAGGACGTAGGGACGGTCATACCAGCAGGACGGATCGTAGGAGATGGGCTGATAGCGGATGCCGTGTTGGCGATGGAATACACCAGATATTCAGCGCGGGCAGGGTGGGTCCTAGGAGACGTGAAAAAAAGCAAGCAGTGAGCAGTAGACGCTACATTAGGGAGGAAATGATTGAGCCAATCAGCGGCTGAGGGTGCACAAGAATTTCCAGGAAGAAAGGCTATATACGCGATAGATCCACCGTCTTGAAATCAGTGACTGATCAGGGCCAGGAAGGAAAATATAACAAAAGTGGACATATCGGATTAGGATGTCCAAACATGCGGGAGCGGGAGTGTCAGACAACCAGATACCGAAACCCGCGCCAGAACGCATACACACACCCCGTCAGAAAGAGAAGGAGAGCTGGGGCAAGCAAGCTGGATGGAGAACCGAGCGCAGGTAACGGCGGGAGTGCTAGTCTGGTACATGGGCGCAGAATTCGACAGACTAGACAAAGAGTGCTGGTCGAAGGTGATACTGGGCAGGCAGAGGTCCGGTACGATACGCAAATCCGCAGACTACACGAAATTCTAACGAGCGAAGTGCATATGGATAACCCAGGGTGATCAATGATCTTTGGGCGGTGACCAGAATAACCGAAGTTGGGCCCACCGCATTGAGTGAAGATAAGCACCGACCAGAGAGAACACCGATTAAGGGTTAATCAAGAAAGTAGGCCTAGGCGGGATGGATGTGCGAGGGATGTATGTGGTAGAGTGTCAAGGAGGAACGGAGGTGTTGAAGTAGGGTGGATTGAATAATTATAAGATTATGGGAGGCTGACAGTTGCATTTATTTGGCTGTCTTTGTTGTGGCACCGATCGCGTTAGCGCTATCACGTGTCCGCAGACGCGTCCTTGACCGCGACACTGACACTGACAGAAACAACCCTTGCAATGTCTAGGGCGCCCAGAGGTAAGCCAAACCCACTAAATGGAAACATGGATATGATAGGTCGGCCGCCTTTTTTTGTTGTCGGATCTCTGCCGGGCCTAGCTTCACGGCCGCGGTGCGCTGGTATACGCCACCGCATTCCCGAATCCTTTAGCATGCGCGGCTGCATTAGCATATATCCGTTTGCATTGTGATATCGTGGCCACGCTTGTCCTGAGTTGACTCCGGGTATTTACTTTCCTAAATGGATTCGATTGAATACCTACCATCACTCTGAGTAGCCTGTTTGAACCCTCGGCGGTTTGAGGAACGCCTTAAATTTTAAGTTAGCCCTCTCCACCAAAACGGACAAACCCAGGTACCACTTGGGACTTGGTAGTCCCCCGCGACCCCCAACCGCCTGCAAAATACCACAGGCTGGCTGCTGCTTTGTAGCTGCGATGAAATAGCTGTGTTATAATTTATCTGAGGGTCGCCCGCGATGTCCATCTGACCCTACGCGAGTAATCCCCTCTAGCTGGTTGCACATCACTAGGTTTCACTTGGTTCACTCTTAACCGACTTAATCGTGCAACAAAGAACCCCACCGGTGGGAGGAGACCGTTGAATTCGAATAGGCAGTAAATAAGCTAGAAAATATAAATATAATAACACACGCGAAGCGGACGACACCACGAAATCAATTCTTTTGTCTCCGTGGAATACGACCGAATTCCCCCAGGTCAAGTGACTCCGATGAGTCGGAACTGATACTCTCTTGATCTTCCCTACAATCTAGGTTAGTACAACGATTTCATGGGGGCGCGAAACGCACGCTGCACGCAATCTCTCCTCGCGTATGCGTTCTAGCTCCTCCTCTTCCTCCTTTTTGATTTTCTCTATCAATTGTCGCCATAGGGCTTGCTTGTCTGCAGGGAGATCTGACGTCCCATCCCAGAGTGTTCGATCGCTCTTCATCGACTTCATTAGGTTCTCCTGTACGCTTACATGAATTGAGACCAGGTCTGACACGTCCACAGACACCATGGTCAGATCTGCCTTTATGCGATCATGAATCCGCATGAAAGCCTTTTCGTCAACCTCAAAGCTTTTTGGAAACGCAGCGCCTGCGTTCAATAGTTTTGTAATCCCGCGTCTAACTCGGCGAATGGTTTTCTCGCTAGGGTTTGGGATCAGGGGAGGCTGGGGCCCAGGGGGCGGCGCTTCATCTGCCGCACTGGCTTCTGGGGTCCCTTCGTTGAAAGGTGGTGTTACGAATCGAGAATATTCTGAAGTAAGGATATAAACTTGGGACAGACTTGGAACTCGTTGGGCCATGCTTACTAGGTTTGCGGTGCGACTTATTTTCTAAATCTAGGGGCCGTGGTCTCTTCTTGCCTGTGACAGATTTCGTAGGTGTTGCATTTCCGCCACGACCCGGCTCTCGTTGGGTAGCATCAAAGGTGACCAGGTTTGGAACACCCTCCGGATGCTTCAGTAGCAGTCTGGCTATCATCAATTCTGTCGTTATGTTGGCCTTGATTCCTTCATGCTAAGGACGATAGTTGATCATTATAGCACTCCGAAAATATAGACAATGCGTACTTTAGCTAAAGCCTGGATTTGCGGCCGAGAGAGCTGTTCCAAGACATTCCTGTCCATTACTTCTTAGGGGGGCGGTGTGATGAGGTGGGTGGTGGGAGAGGCGTACTTGGAATGCTGCATTTTAAGATCGCCAATATAACCCAGTGGGGGACAATGAAGGCGTCAGGTCAGAGTATGTCTGCCCCATTTGGGTGATCGGGTGTCTCGATCGCATGTGGCTCGGCCACAACCTGCCGCCATAATAGCCAGTGCTGGTCGGTTCCTGAGCCGAGTCTGGGTTGGATCTGACACCCGTAGCTTTATTGTGCGCCAAACTAGGAATATGGGAGTGCAACCGGTGTTGCGATGTGATAAGCCTTGGGCAGTACTGGACGAGTCTGCACTGCAATACCACGACAACTCTGATCATTAAGTGTTATCTAAATTGAAGTGGGGGCGTGGTCAGTGGATAAATAACGACAAGAGTGGGTGCACATAGTTTTTGAGGTTGGCGGCAAGCGAGACGAGAAGCAAAAAGTGACAAGAGTGGGATTCGAACCCACGCCTCCATACGGAGATGAGAAACCTGAGGATTCAGGTAAGCTTTCGCTTGAGTCACACGCTATAGACCACTCAGCCATCTTGCCATGAAGATTGGAGTAGAATAGCGACCGGTGACCGGTACAAGTTGACTGATCCATGATGTGAAGATCAGGAGGGCATGGTTACAATTGCCAGTACCCTCAAATCCGCCCCAAAAATTTGGTAAGCACGGCAAGATGGCTGAGTGGTCTATAGCGTGTGACTCAAGCGAAAGCTTACCTGGAATCCTCAGGTTTCTCATCTCCGTATGGAGGCGTGGGTTCGAATCCCACTCTTGTCACTTTTTCCGTCATCCACCGAAGGACTTGATTTGCCTCTCTTCGATCATGATCTGACACACTTTTTGTCTCTACCATTCTGGTATGCTTGACCCTTAGGGTCGTGGTGCACTCATGATTTTATTGTTGCTAAATTTCCAATTAGCTTAGATCGCATTGTTCCATGTTCGCGGGTGATCGAAATCGTGAACATGGAACAATATGTGATGTTCGGGGGATCCACAAATTCACCTATGTAATGTTCCTCTTGTTGAGCTATACATAACACCGCGTCCACAACCGCCAAATTTCGGTATATACAATCTCCCCCTCGCCACACTTTACACTCCCCCCACCTTACACATCAACTTGAAGCCATGTCCGATCGCGAAGATTTAAAAACTCTCAAGCGTGCTCAATTGCAGCAGTTGGCGAAGGTATGAGAACACACCCTCACCAATAGCTTAGGAGGCTCACATCTAGCCTATTCCGCAGAAAAATGGGATCCCAGCTAATTTGAGCAGCGCGGCTATAATCGCACGGGTGCTTGAGATTCGCGCGAGACGAAGGTTTGTGCCCGCATCTCAAGATTAGCCTTGGTCATTGATTTTTATCTAGTGCGGCTGTAGAACTAGCACCTTCAACAGAGCCTCAGGTGGAGGCAGCTGTTGTATCCCCACCAAGGGATGAACCGATCGCTACGCATGAAACGGTCGCACCTCCCCCGGGAGACGGTTCCGCTAATTTGGGCAGCGATGAGAGAGGGACCCCCGACCCGAGTGATGCCGCGGGACCCGCAAGTATTCTAGCCAGTACAACCGATCCAGACGCCGTTGCAAGGTCACTACCTTCAACCCCCCAGAGTACGTACTCCCCATACCCCACCTCGCCAACTAACCAAATCACGGTTTTCGTTATAAAGCCCCCTATGCAGCATCTCTCGCTGGATCCGCACAGACTTTTGGCACACCCGAAAGCCCAGCATCTTCCCCCGGCACGCCCCCAGTCCCCGCGGATCCAGAGCTTATCCGGGAGACAGTCGCCATGATGGCGGCGATTGATAAAATGGATCACGCCTACGGAGAGCGGTTGGCGCGGATGCGTGCTGCAACGACGAAATTGCAAGCAGAGGCCACTGAGCTTGAAAACAGGATATCGTCCGAGCACTCGAGGCGCGAGCGCATGAAAAATTACTTAGTCTACTGGCAAAATGAGCCCCCGAGGTGGTCGTACGAGGCTGTTTGGTCTGGCCAGCTGAAGTTGAAGGATTTATACGAGTGTGAAGAAGTTGATAGCGAAGATGACCAGGACCAGGAGAGTCAACTCAACGGGTGTGTTAATCGTTCGACCACCTCGTACATCGGTTTAACCCTTATCCCCAGTTCCCCTATACCAATACAACCAGGAAGGACAACTCGAAAACGCAAATATGATCCATCTCACGAGGACAACGATGATGACCTCACACCCGCTGAAGCTGATGACGAAGCCCGGTACCGCCCTCGCCCACGGGTCGAAGGAATCGATCCTGAAACTGGCATGCTTGTCCCCGCCTCCTCCCCCACCCAAAAGTTTCTTGACCGTGCCCAGGCTGAATCGTCGACCATTTATCCCGCGGTGTCCAGCCCACAGCAACCTAGCGGCAGCCCTCCCAGCGTCCCTCTCGAGTTTCCAGGCAAGGGCAAAGCCAAAATGACCGAGGCGCAAATCGAGGAGCTGGAGGACGGGGGGATGACACCTTCTGGGGCAAGACCGCTACTCAGGGTGCCACTACCGTCTCTCACGGAGGAAATCGAACAGGACCAGGTGGCTGCATTCCTGATCCAGTCTCGGAGCGCTGAGCACGTCGATACTCCCTATCCTACCTTTGTCCCCGGGCCTACTCCTATCCTTTCGCCCGGAAGAATCACCCGGTCCGCAAAAGTGCGAGGCTAAATGTTGGTGCCGCTATCCCGATGGATTGCATCGAGTTTTTTTGGTATTTATCTTATTATATATTCTGTACTAGACGCTCAAAGAACGAAATGTTGTGGGTATGAGGTTGCTCGGACTCTCCTACTAAAATTGATTTGCAATAATTGTCCAATACAGTAAAGATAGGCGTGATACAAAATTTCCATCGTGTCCATACGATGGAGCAAGATAGTGACGCGCAAATCAGTAAAATGACCCATGTACATATCACCAATGCACTTGATAAAACATAACAGAATAGAGAAGAGAATAGGATTAACAAGTTAGTAGCCTCTATGCGCGCCACGGCCGGCCATGTTATTGTTGCTGGCCTGCCGCGAATGTTGTTGACGCTGTTCATGTTCTGATGGATGTTGTGCATGTGAATATCGTTGTTGCGGGGGGTATTGCTGATACTGCGTATCGGGGGAGAATGCTGGGCTTGGTGAATAGCTTCTGGATTGTGGTCTATGTATAGGTGCCTGTCGTGAACCATTACTATCTTGATGTACGGGAAGTGTAGGTGTTAGTGAATATTGAGATGAGGCGAATTGATGTGCGCGTGAGCTGAGGAGAGGTTCCTGTATTGAGTCGATAGGGGCCAGTTCAATGTCAGATGCTTGATGGCCAAGCTCGCTACCCGGTCCACTGGCGAGGTAGCGGTCGTAGCCTGGCACGCGCGAAGGAAGATTCTGGTCGCTAGCATAATACTGTGATTTAGCGGGATGAAGCGAAGGTGTTCCATCGAACATCGCGGTTGAAGCCATGGATCGCGCGTCCCAATCCAGTTCTCCCCGATCGCGTTGATACAGAGCGGGGTCGTATTCAAGGTTGTGCTGCAGGATCCCATGATGAGCAACGGAGAATCGGAAAACGTATTGAAGCTGTACCTGATCGATGCCAGCAATCTTAATACCCCCAGGTATGACCTGTGCCTCCATCTTCTGTCCACCATACTCATCCAGCTTGGCTTGGTCCTTTCCAATTTTCCCTTGATATACTTGTCCAAGGAGCGGCATCATCTTCGCATGGAGCATAGGTGTAAAGAGTTCCGCATTAAGCGCTGGGTGGCCGAATCGTTTTTCTAGCCTGTTTCCGCGGGCATCAGAGCGTTGAGAGTGTACCTGAGCAAGGCGGATTTCGTCCTCAGTCGGGTTGAAGTAACGGAAAGCGGGAAGGAAGTTGCGATTGATGTATATTTTGAATGCGAAAATGATGAGCACAGGTGGGACAGTTGACAGCCATTGCAGAGAGCGGAATTGATATTGAAGGCCAATCGCTGAAATACTGTCAGTCCTGGAGATGATTATTACAAGCGGATAACTAACTGAGAATCATCAAGGTCTGCATAATGAGGACCGTGAAAAGCAGCCGGTTGATGACCACATTCCAGAGGCGCTAAAACATTTTGGTAAGCTGAGTGCTATGATAGGGATCGCGGGACTCACGCCTCCAGTTTCCACCTTTGAGACAAACACGAACATGAGTTGGTACTTATACACCCAAGAGCCCATCCAGAATACAACCGCCGCGGCCAGCACAACAAGCGGGGCAAGGGGTGCGAAAACCAGTCCCACAGCGCCCATGAATAACTAAGAAGGCAAATTGGGATCGACATTGCGTTGAGTAGATGATTTGAAATACTCACAAGATTTGAACTATACATTGGTGCAATAAGCGACTGAAGCATCAGAAAAAATAGCAACGCACTAATATATGGCATATTGAAAGTCCGGTGGTTGTGTCCACTCCCTAATATCTCGGGGGGTTCTCCCAAATACACTGGATGGTTGAGCGTGTCAACGATATGCGGTTAGAGCCCCGCAAAGATCGCTTACTGTGTCTTGAAAGATATCCAGACCAAATTGATGATTTGGGCAAGATCAAACACAACAAGGAAGCCACGCAGCCTATTAGATTGAGGTGAGATCGTCCAGAGTATAGGCGCCGAAACGTACGGGAAGAATGTCAGCCAATAGGATGACTGATCAATGTATGTCCTATTAATCTTGTCCGGCAGTGCTACAATCCGGTAGATAATTAGGGGGATAATTGGAGGGGAATAGATAAAAACACAGCTCACTGTGTAAGTTGTCTAAGATCTGCTGAAAGCTTGCTCCTTTCCCTACTTGATCCACGATCTCCTTGACCGAAACTAGAAAAAAGTATGAGTTTCATAATCATGGAAGCGCACCAGCTACGATACAGACTGAAGACAACTCCGATCAAGGTAAACACCACAAGCTGGCTGATAACCAAGAATGCAAAGTATCGGGCAATGACAGCACGATCCAGTTTCGAATGGGTCAGTGCACCCATGTACTATAGATCAATAAGCTAGATGCATATGCCACCCGAAGCAGGACGTACCTGTGTCAACCAACGCATGACAATGGGCAAGAAAAAGCCGAATATGCCTGATACGGCAGGAGGAAGCACACCAGACACAAATGCGAAAGATCTGGGCGAGACATTGAACCAAGATTGTAAGAATGGGACGTAGGTACGGAGCTGTATCGCCGTCAATTGACAAATGAATTCCCAAACAACTGTGGACTGACGGAATTCAAATTGGCCAGGAAAGAGATTATGAATAACGGAAGGGTGTTGAAGAAGCAAACTAGCCCGAGCCAGAGAAAGCCCAGGAAGCGTTTCCGTGCTATTTCACCATCCGCTTTATTCATATTTTCCCAAATCTATGAGGATCAGTCTAGATGATCGCAAAACGCAGTGTAAAAACTTACGATGTCTTTAGGATTGGGTGCAAGTAAAACCTTCGCTCCTTGGGACTTTTCTTTGAGAGGAGCTTGGCGACAACGTGAGCATAGGGAACGGCCGCCATGCTCGCAAAACCATAATTTTCCGCCTTGCGGGTATCAATTTGAGCACGATATTCTTCTATGGATGCCTCTGTGCGCTTGAGTTTCGTACTAGATGCTTCTATTAGCATGAGCAATCGTCGGACAGGAATGACCCCACGTGTAGAATTCGATGGCGTCCTTCTTGGTGCCACCGCAGCCGCAGGTACCACCGACCCGTATTGTTGGCCGTTTATTTCCAACCTTTCCCC